CAGAAGAGCTCCCCACAGGTAGAAATTGTGTATGTGTGTGTGTGTGTGTGTCTGTGTCATTGTTTGTGTATCTGTGTCGTGGTGTGCGTGTCACTGTCTGTCATGGTGTGTGTGTGTGTGTGTGTGTGTGTGTATGTCTGTGTCATTGTGTGTGTCTCTGTGTCATGGTGTGTGTGTCACTGTCTGTCATGGTGTGTGCGTCTGTCTGTGTCATGCAATGTGTGTCTATGTCATGGTGTGTGTGTGTGTCTGTCATGTAATGTGTGTATGTGTGTGTCATGGTGTGTGTGTTTGTCTGTGTCATGTAATGTGTGTCTGTCTGTGTCACGGTGTGTGTGTGTCTGTGTCACGGTCTCTCTGTGTCGTGGTGTGTGTGTCTGTGTGTCACGGTCTGTCTGTGTTATGGTGTGTGTGTGTGTGTCAAGGTGTGTGTGTCTTTTTTAAGGTTTGTGTCTGTCACGGTGTGTGTGTCTGTCTGTGTCATGGTGTGTCTGTCTGTCATGGTGTGTTGTGTGTTTCTGTCTGTGTCATGGTGTATGTCTGTCATGGTATGTGTGTGTGTATGTGTGTTTTTACTCACTTTTTTTTTTTCCCATGTCATGCTGGTCTCCCCTCACTTGGCCCTGCCTCTACGGCTGAGATCATCAAGCTTGATGATCTCAGCCAATCCGCACTGACACAGGAAGCACCTCTAGTGACCGTCTGAGTGTCTGTCACTAGGAAGCAATGTAAACACTGCCTTTTCTCTTAAAAGTCAGTGTTTACATTGAAAAGCCTGCAGGGACAAGCTATAGACACCAGTACCACTACATTAAGCTGTGTGTGTGTGTGTGTGTGTGTGTGTGTGTGCCTGATACTGAGTGAGCTTGTGTTTTTATGTCAATAACCTTATGTATGAGGTTGTGTATCAATCAGCTTGTCAGTGAGATTGTCTGTGTCTGCATGTGAGTATGCTTACTGTATAATTAAAAATTTTACTCTGAAAGGACCAATATTTTATATTGGAAAAAGCTATATATATATATATATATATATATATATATATATAATATTGCCAGAGCTAGCACTCCAAGGACTAATATAAAATATAAATTTTATTACCTCCACTAAAACAACACAAGGTCAACGTTTCAGCTTGATGTCCTGACGAAAGCTTAAGGGGATCAAGCTGAAAGGTTGACCTTGTGTTGTTTTAGTGGAGGTAATAAAAGTTATATATTTTATATTAGTCCTTGGAGTGCTATCTCTGGCAATATTTTTTGCATTTTTGGCTGACAAGCACCGGGCATTGAATATTGAATTGGTGGAGTGCAAGATCTGTTTGGTTTTTTATATATATATATATATATATATATATATATATATATATATATCTCTCAATCATCTAGGGTTGCAAGACATAGCCTTACATATTACATGCGACAATATATGGCGCAATGACTTATGGGGATGGCATAGATTTTTGTAAAGTTAATTAGGGGATACATTTTTTCAATGCTATGTGTCACAGATGGCATAGTTCTATACATAATGTCCTGCTTCCTTACTGCACTATCAGAGAAAGCTATCTATCCCTCCCAACCCTTGGGCTATCGCAGACAGGATGAGAAGCATATTAAAATTTGGTCATGATGATATGGTATATCATTTGTGTGTTGTGAGGAAGTTATAGATAATAAATATATAAATCATATTACTTTATCAATATGATCCATATGTAAAATAAGGCTATGCTTTGACTACAAGTCTTATTTCTTGGAGACTACCTCAAAGAGTCCAGTAGAAGCGGATTGCTGGTTTTATTTAAATATAAACCTTAATGCATGTGTTTTTATTTTTTATTTTATTTTTTTTTAAATTTATTTTACTAGTTAGCTTTATTGATTTCATGTAAAACATCACAGCATATAGAATTGAAATTGATGGATTTTTCTCATAAACAAGTGAAAACACTGAATACATTATAAAAACCAATAAAAATGTTTATTAATATGCCAGGAAATATCAGATACAGCTCAGTAGTACCATGGAAATATTTGGGAAGGGTATTGGTATTATAGAATACTGTGTCCAAAAAATGCAAATTTTTGTGTGGCTTACTCCCCCAATGGCTTCTCCACTTGATACATTGGGGGGCAATTGTGAATTAAACCAAGACTATAAAAAGTGACATTTTGTTGTATTATGTTCAATGAAGACTTTCAAAAGATATTCTGAGTCCTACATACCATTCCTCTCTTTCAGATGATTAAAATTCAGGTAACAGAAACAACGGCAAGTTAAAATACAGTTTCATAAACTTGCTGGTTATATCTGACAACCGCAGGCCACACTTCCTTCCCTATATCTACTTGAATGTTCAATGCCACTTCAAAATAATGTAACTTACAACAGGTAGTGTGAAGAAGAAAAAAAAAATTTTTGTCTGTTTTCAGCAGGGTAACGATCTCATTGCCAGTCCAAGAAACTTAAAAAGACGAGGTTATTCACATAAATTGTCAAATCAGCGTGGCCAAAATGAAACAAATGTTGACCTAAAATTATGGTAAAACTCTGTTTTGCAGTGATAAAGATTAATAGACATCTGGCATCAAATTTTCATCTATCGTTTTTAAAAAGTTAATTACATTTACTGAAACTGATTTTTCAAAAATGAAATATATTGATTTGGGGGGGGGGAGGATATTTCACGTCTTATCTGGATAAGTAGCATATTTCGGTCAGATTCTACTGTTATCTGACCAGCTGCCCAGCCTAACCTGCATGCTACTGTTATTGTTCTTTCACGTTTCCCCAAGCACTTACATAGATGGAATAAAAATAATAATAATGAGAACACCAAGAAGGCTTATATTTACTAACAGACTGCCCTTGTTCAATTGGGATAGGGTTGGCAAAAACTATAGCACATATGATGGTTTGTCAGCTTCCAAGTTGGCAGAGCATTATAGGATCTACATTTTGGCCACTTGACTGAACTGATCTTTAATATTTGGTTTTTTTTCTTTAAACATTTTATTCGTAATAAATAATATCTTGCACTGTACAAAAATGTATTCATTGTTATAAACTTGAGAAACTAGTATTTATGTGTTACTGCCAAAATGATATCTAAACGGATATTCCTTTATTATTTTTACACTTATATTTAAATAACTTGCTTTTTCTTCAAGGGATTACTACAGGTGATCAAAATGTTTTTGTCCTCAGACCTCCACAGATGTAATAAATCAGGGAACATCAGGTGAGAATGACGTATGTAACCAAACATAATATAAAACGAACAGCAAATATTACAATAAACAAACTATAATCAAACTAATCACTGGTCTTTCTTTTTTGTTATTTGTAATAAATAATATAAAAGGCTGTGAGCGTTGTAAAGATGAAAGATTTTGGTACCAAATTAATTCATTTTGGAAATGTAAAGGGATGCAATACCTCTGAGAAATACCAAGTCGCATAGACTAAGAATAACTTGATTTTGATTTGGAGAGGTGGGTCCACTGTAGGAATGAACTGTTTGCATGTTTGGAGAAGTTGTTTAAAGTGTATCTCTTTACTAAGTAGGATTTGAAACCCATCCATCGAAAAAGGTAAGCAAGCTCGGCTTTTAACATGGTCAATAGAGGTTAAGATTGTTGACTATAGACCCGAAGAATTAATTTTTGAAATACTCCTAATACTAGTGGAATACATGTTTTGTTAAGTAGAATGTATGATGGTGATGTAGAAGAAATTGGACCAAAGCAAAGTTGAGGGTAAGCATTAATTCAGGCAAAGAGTGGTTATGAAGATATACTTAAATAATTTCCAACAATTTCAAAGAATCAATGATATATATTTATATATGCCCTTTCACACTTACATTTAAAACATACTGTGCAGTGCGCTATCTCACTCGCCTATAGCAAATACTCTGCTAAGTGTATATAAAGGATAGTAAGCTTCATCACCATTTTAATATGTAAATGTTATTGGACGATGTGTGTTATTATCTTTGTGTTTTGTAAAACAATTTTATTGGGGAGTGAATTTTTGTAGAAAGGTTAAGACACTGTACTAACCCTTTCACTGCTAAGAAGTAACAATTACTGTTTTAAAAAGTAACAATAAATCCTAGGATTTATAGTGAAACATGAATTATGAAATACAGTAAATTTTATACATGAAAAGTCAAAGCAAGTGCTACAGGACCATTCTGCTGGATCCATGGTGATTGCTCCTTATTTAGGTCTTTGTCCCAGAATAGTACCTGTGTTTTGCCTTGATAAATCTCCCCCATGATGCTTAGTTAGTATTATGGATAAGGACAAGGCAACGAGTTGTATATAGACTGCTGTTCACGGAGAAACAAAAAATAAAGCCAGGCACAGAATTTGTCGTTAGCATTTAAATAAATGCTAATAATAATCACTATTTTATTTCTTTATCTGTTTCATAAAACTTACAGGGAATAAATTATCACTAATAGAATGGTGTCCTACACCCCCCGAAGGTTTAAAACATGCATCAATTGCAATAGTGAAAACACCATAAAAACAGTCAAGCACCCTTGTCCTACACCAGGGATAGGCAACCTTCAGCACTCCAGATGGTTTGGACTACATCCCCCATAATGCTCTGTAACCCATAGTGCTAGCAAAGCATCATGGGAGGGGTAGTCCAAAACATCTGGAGTGCCAAGGTTGCTTATGCCTGTCATACACCATTAGCAATGCTTCAGAATGCAGACTCCCAAAATGCCAGCACAATGTGTAAAATGGACTAGTATCTGGCTTTAACACCAAATGCAATATATACAATTGACTATGTTAAACGAGGCATCAGTGCGTACAATCAAACAGTAACAAAGATGTAGCAATAAAAATATATATTTTAAAAGGATGATTGAAATTAATAAAATGACAAAATGTGGACTGTTTTCAAAAGTATAGCTGAGGGGTTCCCAATATTTGTCACTCCAGATGGTGTGGACTACATCTCCTCTGATGCTTTTCCTGCATTATTACTGTTAGAGCATTATGGGATTTGTAGTCTACAACATCTGAAATGTGGATGGTTGCCTTCCCCTAGTTTATTTAGTGCAGGCTAACCTCTAAAATGATCTTTCTTGGAGATGGTATACTCTGAATACCTGGCTGTAACGCACGAGAGTTTGCAAAATACATGTGTTTTCACATCTGAGAAGGCACTCATGAACAAGGAATTGTAAATATGTGTGTTTAGCATTCCTCTCTGAATTTAAGCCAAAGTAGAAGAACTGTGAACAGTATCCAACTGGTTTAATAGAAAATTCTGCTATATTTAAAGTTGGTTCTGAAGTCCTCACAACCTGCTGTGCATATAACTGAATTAAAATAAATATATATTCTCTAACTGAACTGGACATTGATTTTTTTTTTATAAGAAGACAAGATACTGTGTATAATATGAAGTATGATTAAGGTCAATATCTTATTTTTTCATCACAGCGATCACATATGATCCATAATAAATGTTTGGCGGTATTGTAAAAGACACATTTTTATTATTATTTATATATTGCTATAAACTAATTATAAAATTACCTTAACATCAAAATATATGAAATATTTTTAAAGATTTGATAGAAACATTTATATTTCTATGTAGTTTTATATGTGTCACTGTTAGGAATCAGATGCCTTAAGACAAAACCAAAAAAACAACTTTTTGATGTTGTGACTTCAAAAATGAGCAGACAACTTAGATTTGTAGCTTTGTAGAAAAATGGAGCACATTTATTTTATCGCATCAGTTTACGAGTTACATCAGGTAGGAGATCATTGCGATCTGCGTTGCATCTTTACGTATTTAGGCAACACAAGAAAAAAAACAACAGTAATCACAATATATCACTTTTGTTAACAACTGTTATTTTTATAAATTAAAAAATTCAATTTCAAATGACTGTCCCAAACAAAATTACATTGACAAAATAAAAATGCATATAATAACTATAAAATGAAATGGGCACTTAGGGGTAAAAAAACATTTTCAATGGTTTTATTAGCGTGAACAAAATACCTTCAGTTTTTAGAAATATTTTTTGGACTTTCTTTTACTGATTTAAGATAAACAAAACTAATAGAACATAACATTCTACATAATACACAATAGACTTATTGTTTCTAGGAAACCGTGAGAAATCACCGAAATTGTAGAAATCCAAAATATTCTAGCCAAGATAAATGTAAGGGACATGTTAAGCTGTTGTGGGACCTTTTCAGATTTGATCATAGCATCTTTTCAGGTTTCAATGAAAAGTGTCAAACAAACCCTCTGGCTAAAACTCCAGTGACTCGATTTATTTTCAAACTAATGCTCCTGTCCTCATAAAACAAAGAACAGATGTGCTTTTGTACTATTGCTTATGTACATATTTAAATTAATAAATATTTGTTTTTTTACATTTTATAGTTTTTTTGTCACTTTATTCCCCCACTTTATTATTAAAGAAACTTTAGTTGCCTTCTTGATAGGTCATAGGTGTCAAAACCTATTTCAGCTGTGCAAAGTAGAATACAAATAATCTAAGCACCTTCGTAGGCTTGGGAATGTAGTAATAAATTAAATTAAAAGTTAAGACGGTTTTACTGCAAGTCGTATAAAATGTTCATTAGAAGTCAATTGGAGAAGTGTTTCAATCAAGATCTTTGAGGAAGTACATACATTTATCTCCATGTAGACAAAACATATCACGCCATATACTCAAATAATTTTGCACTCATTTACAGAAAACCGTTTTCTTCTAGCTCTCTTTTTAGCCTGATTGACTGCTGTCCTCACTGCACACTCAAACACTTGCTGGACCCCTCTGTTGCTTAGAGCAGAACATTCCAAGTAACCTTTGGCTTTTACATCCCGAGCCAGTTGTTTTCCATCCATCGAGTTAATGCATGGTATCCTCATTTGATCCATTTCCCTTTGGTCAGTCTGAGTTGCTATCACTAGCACTGGAATGTTCGGTAAGTGTTGTCTAACTTCAGTAATCCACTTGTTTCTCACATTCAAAAAAGAAGCATGGTTGGCCACGGAGAAGCACAATAGGACAATGTCCGCATGCTGAAACGATAAAGGACGGATGCTTTTGAAAGCATCATTGCCTGCTGTGTCCCAAAGTCCAAGGCTGATCTGAACACCGTCCATAAATACATCAACACCTGTATTTTCATAGACCGTTGGCCTGTAAGAGTCTGGAAAAGCCTCAGATGTGAATCGGACAAGAAGTGCAGTCTTTCCTACAGCAGAATCACCCACCAGTACACACTTAATGGCATTCATCTTGTTAGCTGTACAATGGCTGTCTGTTGACAATACTATATCTAAACACTAAAGTCTTTTAAAGTTCACCTAATCACGATTATGAAGAATCCATTAGTTGTCCAACAAACCCTTCTTAGCAAACCTTAGAAAGCACAATGTAGGAAGCTGTTCAGGTTCTTCACGGATTCAGGTATCTAGGGAGGAAGAAGAGAAGAATTGCATATGAGATAAAACACACAAAGTAATCAACCGACAAAGAACATACACAACCAGAAATATAAAATAGGAGTCAACTTTCAGTCTGCATCCATTTGTTCCGAATATTATTCACATTAAATAGCCAAGGTGGGAAAAATTGAGGAAGAATAATACTAAATATATAGAAGTGATGATGAGTTTAACAATATGATCAAAAAAAATGTGTGTGCAATCAAGTATGTTTTTTGTTTTTAATTCATCCTCAGATAATATCAAGTAAGTATTAGATGTCAACATTAACTTAATACACGTGACAACACATATAATGCAAAATGTTTTATGGCATGAAAAACATGCATTACACATTAAGTTAAGATCTAAATTATTCCATCCAGACGGGCCCAGCACAGACCCAACCAGGGAGACCCCTGGACCATGTCCCCCAGCTGCCCGCAAGATACCCCTCGTGTCCGTGAATATCAAAATCGCACGTTACAAGACCCCTACCTCAGCCCGCACCTTGCCAGTAATATGCACCACACTAATGCCGCAGTGCACGGCTAACCCTCGCCACACACTGCCCCGCAAATTACGCACCCAACCATAATGTAAAACACAGCTGACAATGCCAAATATGTGATCTGTACGATTGTTAACTGCAGCCAGACCTGCATACCTGGCTGGCCCGCCCAGCGATATACTCTGTCTTGTTACAGCTTCACTTTACCTGTACTTATGGAATGCTATCAATAAAAACTTTGAATAATAAAAAAAGAAAGATCTAAATTATACTTTTTTTCTAATAAGGAGCAAGCTCTATCATAAGTAATGAGGTTTGTCCCAGAAGCATAATCAGTTGAAAAACAAAAAAACACCATACTTATGAAATAAGTACTACGTACAAGAATCTACGTTTAGCTTGAACATTGGTGCATTAGACAGGTGTATCTGAAATACAAATCTGACCATTGTATATTCAGCCACTAAGTTACATTCATTAAAATGGCAACAACTAAATGCATATGTATTACAAAAACACTCAAGTACACCAAAGGAGAAGAGTGATAATACAGTAAATTGAAATAATAATAATTTTTAAAATAACTAAACTTTGGCACTGGATGATGTTTCAGGGCTAACATCAGAAAACTACAATTAGTTACAGTGGCAAATGGAGAAGTACATCATATAAAACGGTTATGAATAGAAAAGGGATGGAATATTGCTTTTTATGTTAATATCAATTAATTTGCATTATAATTAGTTAAAACTGCTGATGACTAGCAAATAGCAACTAACACACCAGTGAAGGTTATCTGAACAACCCCTAATATTTCCCATAATGCTCAGTAAGTCATCTGTACACCATGTTGCAAGTTTAAATCCTACTAACCAGTGACATATGGGAAAGATAGCTGAATAGATACACACACACACACACACACACACAAGATTCAGATGAACCCATCAATATATGTAATAGGATATTTAAACAAATGTATTTTACAGAAAGAAACAACTAGCTTTTGTAAAAGGTGTGTAATCTAATAGTTAGAGACACAGATTGTTACTAATTAGAATTTAAACGGCTACGTACGCCAAGATACTTAAAGCTTCTGTAACACATTGGGATTTTAGCACACATTACCCGGATACACCTTTACCGAGAGAGTCTCAAGAATTTTTTAACATTTTTTTTTTTACAATAATTTATCTAAAGGGAAAACAGTTTTCTTAATGAAGCTTTGAAATGTTTAGAAATATTAGTTACAAAAAAAAAAAAAACATAATTCATTAACATTTGTAAAAGCTTGGGAGACAGAAAGAGAGATATTGAAACATAAAAGTAGAAAGACTGAGATGGAGAAGGAGGGAAAGAGAAGGTGTAGACTCAGTGTATGTATTAAACGTATTAATGTATGTCCGCTTCTTAATATATGTAAACATATTGCTCTTGACACGTGAGATCTCAAAGACCCTTAATTGCCTCGTCTAATTATCCACTCACAAAAGAACGACTAAAGACTGTCAGGAAAACAGGTTTATTTACTAAAGAGAGATTTTTTTAGGAACCCAGTAAATTTCAAATTTGACGCCAAAGTAGCTAAACTGGATGCATAGTTAACTTGGTGAATGTTTCCAGTTGTATTTGAAATTTGCTTTGAACTCTTGACAATTCTTACTTTCGTGACTAAATCTATAACTATTCACTTAACTTCTAACTATCTACAAGTATATCTATATTAATGTATGTATATATGTGTTTGTGTATTCATGGATATAAATCCAAATAAAACAAAATTAGTATAAACAGTCGCACAAAATATTCATTTATCTACCTAATCGAATCTATTAATCTTTAATAAATTAATATAATTGGTCAACCTTATCTATCTATGTAATCTATGCTTAAAGTCATATAAACAAATACTCAAACACAATATGAATATACATCTGTCTGTATATAAATAAGTACACACATATATACTATATAGATACATATAGCTATAAAACTGAATATATACATCCATGTCGCATACAGTGTGTTGAATGGAGCAGTGTCTTCTATGATTAATATAGCTACTTACATAATGTATCTGTTGCTGGCTGTAAGAATTGACTCTGTCGTCTGGTGGTTTGTCGACCAACCCGGCGCCCATCCCCTCTGAATGCAAAGAGTCTCTGTAGGCCAATAACTCAGAGGTCTCTCTGATTACAAGAATGACTGTCGAGAGAACTCCCCATGACAGATTAATGTGGTGTGACTGACAGGAAGACAGCCTTTTAAAAAGAATCATACAGCCTAATCCACTTCCCTAAACCCATCTAGTTTTGCTCAAAGTAAAGAAGGCTAAGAAGCTCAGTATATGTTAAAGGATTTGGTCTAAAGGATGTAGTCCTGAAGCATATGTATTGCCATTTTTTTGTCATTTGCTTTCAAGAGAGAACTAGAAGTATAGATCAGGTCGCTTTGCATTTTATTATTATTATTATTATTATTATTTTATCAATACGTAGATCCAATGATTTACATATTTATCAAAAAGGTAGATCACCAGCTGTTGAAGAATTTTAAATTACCAACCGTAATGAGCATTTCTGATAATGGGTGTTGCAAAATAAATTTGAGAGGTCGAGATAAACTGGCGTATAGAGCATAGAGCTTTCTGCCTTCAACCTTGAATTTTATTTAGTAAAAAACTTTTAAAGGAGAGCCAAAGGAAGCTACCCTTGCTCGCAGGCGAGCATGCAAATATATTACTGCCATTTGCTAATGACAGAGAGAAACCGGCAATAAAACTGACCATACAATTGATTGTTAGATGCTGTTTTCATTGTAAATGGCAAAATGTTTATTCAACAAAAAGAAAAAAAATCTCTAATGAAGTTTGATAATCTTGGTTGCTAGATTCTTTATGATATTCTCAAGGTAGTAGAAAACCCTTCCAATGACTGCCTTGAAAATTACAGATGTGCAAATCTGGAGAAAAAAAACTATTATCTACCACTCCCAGGGCCAGTTTAACCCCTTAAGGACCAAACTTCTGGAATAAAAGGGAATAATGACATGTCACACATGTCATGTATCCTTAAGGGGTTAAACTAACCTAAACTCCCTAAGTAACTTGATCATTGATTTAAACCATTAACAGGGCTAGAAATTAATATAAACAACATAAGTGTCAGGGCCAAAATAACCAGATAGGACCCAGAGCAGCAAAAAAGTGGGAGGCTCCCATGACTATGACTTGGTAATTGCTGACGTGGTTAATATAGTTTTCATTTTTCTGGACCTACATGTTCCAATTTTAGTCTATCAAAACTCTGACTGGGTGCGTCCAACCCAATAGTCACTAAATAATTTAAACTTGTAATTATTTGACAAATGCACAGTAATATGTTATCAGGATCTGCAACCAGTTAAGCTTTGCATTCCATATTTATAATACTGTGACGGCTTTAGCAATTTATTAGTAAGTGAAATAATAATCAGGATGTAATTTATTTACCAGGCAGACAAATAACACAAGTTCAGAAAATCATGCCTTTTGCTTTACGTTGTGGGCAAATCTACATTCTAAATTCACTTCCTCTACAACAGGCACAGTCCACTTATACATATTTAAATGGTGCATGCCATAGGTAAAGATAAAACATAGAGTCTAAATCTGCTGGGATAATTATTATTTATCTGGGAATATATAAGCAAACTAGATTATACCATATATGTTTGTTTTGCAGAATGAAAAAAGAAACAAAATAAATCAGCAACCGTATTCTAGGCACTCATAGTCGTATCCCTAATTGTAAATATAATGCATTAGAGAACAAACACTACATTAGTTATCTCCTTCAATACTGAGTTCTCTTTAAAAGAAAATGTAATATTTATATTAAATATATTTTCAAAGATAGCACGTATAGTAAGAACAAAGCAGCTATATCTATCGTGATTTATGGTTATATTCTTGTATTAATTTATTGAAATAAATATTCATATTATATTCAGATACAATAGGCTATATATAATTTTTTTGAATAATGTCCATTTGAGGACATATATATTTAAGAAGAAGGAGAAAAAGGTTATATTGCATATTTGAAAGTACAGTTGCTAAAATAACAGCACAATGTAAAAGTTAAATTTGCACGTGACAAAATGCTTTGTATACCAACAGGGTTATCCAATATGCAATATGCACTGAACTCTGATTTTTTGCTAATTAAATCGTAATGACAAAATATAAGAAAAATAAGTAAAAATAGAGTTGGATCATTTTCCCCAATCAGCTATTTGTGCCTCAGTTTTTCCATTTAGATTTAATTTGCAAACATTTGGAGGTTACTGACTAACCCTGTAGTTGCTTTAAGTGGCTAAAAGCAGGTGATTGTATTTCATTTATTCCTATATATCAGAACTGCCCAGCTATATGAGCTTAGTACTCTTTACATTTTCCTCAGACATGTTGTAAATGTGAGAGCTGCAATAGTAAGCCTCGTAGGCTCTCGTATACTGGTCAGATGATGATGATATCTAAAGTGCTTTAGTCAGGGGAGCTGACTGGTGCAACAGCTGAGCATCCTGTTTAGCAGTGTGAGGTCCAGAAAAGAACATGGCCAGCAGAAAAGGTAAATACATTTTTAAAAATACAAAAAAAAAAATCAAAAAAAATTTAATAACTAGAGAAATTAAGAAATATATTTTTTTCCCCATCAATTCCAACAGACTTTCTATAAGTAGTATAAACACGAACAAAACTGCTTCTAAACTGAACATATCTTCGATGAGAAAGTACATCACATGTACTTATATTATTTGTGATTCAAAGGCAGACATTTATGTTTATCACAAGTCAATCTACATAAGGGCGTGATAGTATCTGTTACAGCACCTGCATGCTGGCTCTGAGCCTAACACAGAACTACTGAGAATGTGCACAAGCAACAAGCAGAAGTTCCAGAACAAAACCGGCTGCCAAATGTTATAGACAGGGGAAACATAGAATCCTTTCGGAAACTTACAAGGCGTAAATTATTTTGCACAACAATAGATTTATAAATATAACCAGCAAAAAAACTGCTAATTTGAAAAAAAGATTGTAGTTAAATCAAGCTTTGTACATTACTTAAACACGCAACTTTCTGATCTTTCTGACACCCAGGATATCTGCGTGGAAATGATGGGAGCTGAAGCCTATAACTGAGGTGAATATCTACGCCTCTGTCTTAGAATGATGGGAGTTACAGCTTTTAACAGCTACATATACATTTTATTAAAATAAATCTAAAAAAATGCGAGAACATAATTGGAATTCATTTACGTTTAATGTTTCTGTGTTTGTGTCACCCCAGCAGAGGGAATCTCTCCCCTGAAATATTTTTCTTTTTTTTGGTTTTATCTGTCAAGATTATAGTTCTTTTGGATTCATTACAAGCACTGTGTACATAATGTGCAGCTGCACTAGGAGAGCGGATTACTTCTATTAAAATCTAGAAGCGAGTGCAAGTGTCGCAGTGGTCTACTGACTAAGTATTGAGTTGACAAGCTTGCAAAATCTAGGCCATAATTACCATGCTGTAAAAAAAAAAGAACAATCTTAAATTCTGCTATGTTTTTACATGTCTAGTTTGACCTAAAATTGAAATAATTTGTGAGCATAATAGAGGTTATTGTTAAAATGGTGTTCTAAAGTTCTAAGGGTAGAGCAATCGTGCACTGGTTGCCACAGTGACTGCTACAGTTTTAGAACTTTGATGCAGAATTATTCTTTTTACATAGCATTCAATGTTCTTTAGAAAATAAAACCCTTAGTTTTGTATTTTTGGACATTTAAACCTAATAAGCCATTTCTGTGCGTTCTACTAATTTCCTAAAGAACAACTTGCTCAATGCAACTGAAATATCTTGTTTACCAAGAATACATTAGGAAATTAATTTTGGTAATTCGACAGACATAGGTTAAATAGGCCTGCCTTAGACTTTGGAGCATGCAATAATAATTGTTTTCTATTACAATTCTATAGAAAATTGCCTGCATTAGTTTTAATATTTTTTAATAAATGCCATGATGGTAGAAGAGGACATCAATATTAAAATAGGTAAAATATTATAGTAATTTTTTATTAATAAATTGTATTTAGATTTTTTTTATTAGTTACTTAATTTTATAAATTTGAATAATGCCTAATAGGCATTTTGAAGTAATATTTCAATACGATTGTGAATTGTTATTTAATACCTTCTGTCACAATGCCACAACTAAATATTATCAGTATTCTAGTTCATGTTTCATTAAGTATACCCTTCTGTGTTTTAACCATAATCAGGTCTATCACTTTAGCTCTGGATAATTTGGGGATTTCCACAGCCAAAATCCAAACAAACAATTGAAAAAAAAAGCATGATATATTTTTTCATTAAATTATGATCAGATGTCAAATTGATAATTTTCATCTTTTCATGATTGAACATTTACCTTTCAAAGAACTAATTCTATTGTTTTTTGTTATGGCTCATATTCTGTTATATTTCTTTAGAAAAACACATTCTCACCACAAAAGTCCCAATTTAATGAATAAGGCCCTAAGGTACAGAATATGAAAACAGTGAACAATGCAGTGTTGCAAGTCAACACACATCTTGAAAAAAGTAGGTTACTGTCATCAAATGTAACTTTTTTTTTTTAAACTTTATTACATTTAATGAAGCTTAACAATAATTTAAATATTTATATAATGTAGAGTGATGTTTTTTATTTATTTTTAAAAAAAAAAAATCCTTTTAAATCTGGCTGCCATGTTGGGTCAGATTCTACTCTTATCTCTCCAACTGATTCACTGCCAAACTTGTCAGTTGCTGCAGTTTCCCACAGAGCAATCGCAGTAGCTCGTAGGTTAAGCTGAGCAGCAGTTGGCCCGATAACAGTCCAGACTGTACCAACATGGCTTCTCAGCCAGATAAGTAAAATTTTCTAAAAAAGCAAAGAAAAAATTTAAATCAGTAGCTACTTTTTAAAAATATTATTACGTTTTATTAAATGAAATACATTTTGAAAAAATGAAGTAAAAATGTTATGACAGTTGTACTTTAAACCTAAATTTTGTTAATTTGTTGTCAAGTTGCCGCAACTTGCTGTTTGGTGAAATAACCCCAAATTACCAAAGCTCCACAATATAAAATCAGTTAAATAAATAATTCGTATTAACCTTGCAGCAAAACAAAAATGTAGCTTGTCAAAGTCAGTAAGTGCAAACACTTTTAATAAACGTAAAGGAAAAAACTTTTTGCAAAACCACTGAAACAAATTGAAAGGTTTTAATTACATATATATGAAAAAGCCAGGAACTATTTCATTATTTTTATTTTATTTTTTTTAAAGTAATTTTTCATCTGGTACCGAGTAATAAATAAATGTAATTAACTAATGTATCAATTGCCAAGAGATGAAAAAAAAAAGTAATGATGAAAGTTTGCTCTGTGTCCTACGTCACAGTATAACACAACGAGAAGTTGCATTTTTTCACAAACAACTGTACGAATCATACAGAAAGAAGGACTGAAACTGGAGAAACACCATTTACTCTTAACCCTTCCCCAGCATCACATTACAACAGCTGCAGAGTGAATCATGATTGCACTGTGTGAAAATATAGTACACACCAAATACCTGTACCAATTAAAATTCAGTTGTGCGTTATTAAATTATAGTGATTACAACGAGAGCATGTTATGTGAATTCCAATTAACGGTTACATGACAAATGATAAGCAGTTAATGCAATGTTTTCTCCTACTCAAAATGTAACCGCTGAATGGAAATCAGTTTCCTGTTATCTGCTGAAGCCTATAACATGAATGTATTATCGGAACTTCTCCTGTTCTACTGAACATTCTACCATGTCCATCCATTGAATTTATAGGTATATATTGCACAGCAGAATAAATACGTATTGTAATAAATAAACATGCCAGTCAGGAGGGATTGCTGTTGCTTCTATTGGGCCTTTGCATTGTTTTTATACAATGTACTGATTGTGTAGTGAAAACATGAAGCACAGATTTAAGTATTATGCCTTAAAATATTCTCGGAAAAATGTAGCTGAGATATTAAATCCAGTACCAGGTCGATAAATGACACAGAGACTATTCTAGGTAATCCGGGTAGGTGGAGCTGTGTAAGAGACACATTACACGATAAACTTCTTATATAGAGATTTTCTCTACCTAAAATGTTAACCCTTTAAGTGATGTGGAGTTGAGCATTCTATAGCGTGTATCTCTGCATTAAGAAAGGATGGAATGGAACTGTGTAGTATACTTGTACTTAGAAACAAAACGAAACCCTAAAAAAATAAAATTAGTAACAAAAAAACAGAGCAAACAATAAGTGTGTTTACTGAAAAAAATGAGACACAAGCAGGTGAGCATATATGTGTATTAAAGATTGCTGTGCTAAATGTGTTTGCAAAGGGGGATGGGGCCTCCCTAGTAAGCGAGCAGGACACAGGTTGATGGAGGTCCTCAGCTTAGCTTAGGTTTTGCAATTTTAAGGCTTTAGTTGCCCCTCACCAAGTGTTTTGATGTGCCGGCGTGTACAAGCGACCTACACAGTGCGTGGCGCTCCAACGCTCCAACACACCAACCCGTCAAGCTCACTTCATTAGACCCTTGCTAAGTTTGATGCTATATGTGAGCAATTCTGTGCAAAGCTGGAGGAGCGCTTGTTCTTGGCAAAACCAGTTTTTCTACCCGCGGAGGGACATCTGAGAGGTCCCTTCTGGGCGAATCTGCTTTCAAGGGTTCTACCTCTACTTTACTGTGCCCACATGGGTTGTGAGCCCCACGGGGTCTACACTAATAATGCCCAGCCTGGGATTCGGTTGACTGTCCATCCTCACATACACGGCAGCCTACCTTCTAGGCTCTGAGCTAATGCTTCCCTTGTGTCAGACAGTCTCTCCTATAAGAGCATATTAACGTTATGAAACTACTGACAGTGGTTAAAGAGTGTCAATTACCTTATACTCTGCATGTTTATTTCTTTTCTTTTTTTTTTTACTATTTTTGCAAAACTAATATGTTAGTATTTACTAGTTGGATGAGCACCATTTATGTTTATGATGACATGTCTTAACCTGTCAGTGCTGTTCCCACTGCACTAAAAAACAAATTATAAAAAGTGTTTGCAAAGGCCCATTGTCTAATTCTGAAATATATGTGGTTTGTCATTCAACATGTTGGTCAGTGTTGGTCTAGTACTCACAGTGACCTAAACACTGATATATAACACCCATATAGATTATATCCCTCCAATTGTATTATTGTGGTCCCTTTAATTCTGCATTACCTATCCAGTAGTCAGGCCTCAAACAAGGGGCGGGCGAGCAATGCAGAGGCCTGTGCCCTTGGCCTGCACTTTGTGGTCCTCACAATGAACTATTTACTCTCCATCTATGCCATCATTAGCACAATATTCAAGGGATTGGAACAATATTTTAACATCTTTTATAGCCAGAGTGTATACTAGATGCACAAAGGATGCCGAATCTCAGCACCCAGTGCCATTAGAAGCAGTGAAAGATGTCAGTTCCCAGACAGACCTGCACAGACCTGTTCATGAACAGCTGCTGAACAGTCACTGACTTAAAGGAACACTATACAAACATGTATTCCTGACACTATAAAGCAGGAATACAATATTAGTTCCCCGTCCTCCTCTCTTTTTTATTTTATTCACCTTTTTTGCCTCTCTATGCTGGTCTCACCCACCTGAGATCGTAAGTGAAAATGAAAAGCATCTCGTTCTAATTTTCCTGGAAACACACTTTCTAAGTATACTTTGTGAATGGTAACATATGGACAGCCAGTGTACTCCAAGGAAACTATTACACATAGGCATCTTTTTGTACTGTTCGATGGAAATAAGTGTTGCACGTGTGAGTCAGCTTTGTGGTTTCTTGCATAAAGAATATAAAGAGGAGATTTTTCATTACCAAACAGATAATGTAAGTATGTATATATATATATATATTTACATTTTTTTTATTTATTTATTTTAATTTTGATTTGCTTCAACTGAGAGGCTGTCAAAGCATACCAGGGTGAATAAAACGACAACTGTCAACTCAAAACTATTTTTTAATGTAATAATCATTTCATCACGTTTTGATAGGAAATAGATTTATTTAATGAAGTATATGTAAATAAATGAGAATAATGCATCCCTTCCTTTAGTGTATGACAGGATCCTTCAGCCATATACATACACCTTGGATCAGACATTGCTTGAAAACTTACAGTTAGTCTCTATGGTTTTCCCAGCTTCTGTGCAGGGAGTTAAGCATGGAAAACCATAGAGTATTCAATCACTGTCTGGCCCAAGGTGTATGTATATGGCTGAAGATTCCTGTCATATACTATAGGCACAGATGAGTTTTTCTTACTTTATTTTTTTTATCTTTTTTACATATGCTTAATTGAAAAAAGAAAATTAATTTCCTTTTAAAACATGATGAAAGCAGTATTATATTAAAAATAGTTTTGAGGGACTGTGGTCCTTTAACCCCTTAAGGACCAAACTTCTGGAATAAAATGGAATCATGACATGTCACACATGTCATGTGTCCTTAAGGGGTTAAGGGTAACCCATGATGCCATGCATGTGCCATAGATAGTATAATTTGAAGGAGTCATTGTCCATTTCCACATACCTATTATTATTTTGGAATTGCATATTTGTTCACAGGGGTGGCCTGGAAGAAATTGTAGCTGATTTTTTTTTAGGTAAGCTGTCTAACAATTCTCCACCTTATAATATCCTTTGTTTTTTAGATGAATGCTAGTATGTATTTAAAGCTAAATTAAGATCTATATTATTTGCTTATTGTTCAATGTTTGATTGTGGATTTTGAAACATATCTTTTATATACATTTCACATACATTTTACATACATATATTTTAATGTTGGTTTTAGTAGTCAGACATGTTAAACAATAAAGGAAATGCACAAAACGTTGATATTTATTTTTAAATGTCTCAAGATTCAGGTGAGTAACTTCTAGTCAGACATAAAACCAGAAGCTAGTGGCCGCAGCAGACATTGAAAGGTACATGCTAACTTCCTGTATGTACAAATATATTCTTACAACAAGAGGAACCAAATATTATACGCTCATATGCACATATAAACACGTGCACACACACAGGCAGGTGAGCGCACACACTCAGAAACACACAGATACACACACACACACTCATACTCACAGATACACACATAGTCAGACACACACAGATACACTCACAGACACACACACTCTCACAGACACATACACTCACAGACACACACACACACTCATAGACACACACACACACATTCTCAGACACACACACATACACTCAGACACACACACTCACAAACACACAAATTATTATTATTTTTTAAGATTTAAAAATGTCCACCCAACCTCCCTACCTGGAGAGCTGGCATGGACCTGTCCCTTGGGTCCAGTGGGGCTTCAGTGAGGCGGGCGGCTGTCTCCCGGTCAGATGCGGCGATGGAGCTGTGTTCTCTCTGCTCCCTCTCGCCGCGCGGGCTGTCTACTGATGCCAGGAGCCGGAATATGATGTCATATTCCGGCTCCCGGCATCAGCAAACGGCGCGCGAGGGAGCAGAGAGAACACAGTTCCCTTGCTGCATCTGACCGGGAGACAGGTGCCCACCAGGGGGATCTATCAGGTGGCCATCAGGCCACCTCTTGGGCCCCCCCCCATGACAGTGGGAACATGGGGGCCATTTGGGGGCGGCATTTTTTGCCGCCCCCTGAGTGCCTGCAGGAACAAGGGGAACAGCATTCCTGTTGTGAAAAAAGTGCAGGAACACCGTCCCCACGTATTCCTGCAGGATTCGAGCCCTGGGTTCATCTGAGCAAATGTAAAATTTGGTAAAAATCCTGGTGAGGTGTTGGAGGAACTGATGGCATAACATGATTTGTATGGTTCACATGGCAGTCAAACACTGTCCGACCCAATGTGTTTGTTATATATTTATATAGTTTCAGTTCCCCTTGAATACAGTATACTTATTGAACTGACATTTTAATGCCCTTATTGTTCTGCATTGATGTACGAATGCAGACCTTATATTTGCCAATCTCTTTCCACATTAATATGCAATTTTAATGATACAAACATAATCCAAAATTATCAGCTTTTAGGTTAGAATAATTAGATTATGTACTGATTTATATTGTTAATGCGGATTATAACTGATTTTAAGGAGTCCTTATAAGGAAATTCACCAATATTTCAATAAAGTTTAGCTGTTTATATGCTTCTCTTTCAGTTTTTTTGTGTTTTGTTTTGTCTTAATGCTATTATATATTTTAAGTCTGTATATTTTAACACGGATTATGTTTACTTTTTCTGACAAAATTGTTTTTTTTACATACCAGTACTGATATTGAATAAAAATTCCACACATTCAAAGCACATAAGATATAAAAAAACACTCCAGACATTCTTAAAGGGACACTATAGTCACCTGAACAACTACAGCTTAATTTAGTTGTTTTGGTGTCTATATCCTGTCTCTGCAGGCCTTTTGCTGTAAACATTACCTTTTCAATGAAAATGCAGTGTTTAAATTACAGCCAAGGGATACCTCCACTGGCCACTCCTTAAACGTCTGCTAGATGTGCTTCATCTCTGCATTGAGATGCAGAGCTTTCCACATAGAGATGCATTGATTCAATTTATCTCTAGGAGGAAATGCTGATTGGCTAGGGTGGTGTTTGAACCCTGCCCCCATCCAACCTCCTTGACGACCTCAGCTAATCCAATGTTTTCCCATAGGGATAGCATTGGATTGGCTGAGATCATCAGTTCTGATGATGTCACACAAAAAGGCAGATCGGGGTGGGGCCAGCACCGGCAGATTGGAAATAGGGTAGGTTTTAAACACTATAGAGTCATCATTAAATTTAAACTAAAAACATAAACTTGTCTGCAAAAATGAGAAATTGTTCTGATACACTGATTTTTCCTTAACACAAAGTTTATTTGAAGCCATTCTCGACCCTAATTGTTAAGTGACGTTGATAAATATAATCTATTAATTAAGGTTTAACTTTATACGAATGCAAAGTTGAAAGTGCAGAGCGTATCCTGCGCCCATTCTCAGCTCTGTGAGCAGCTTATAATTGCAGTGATTAGTACAAAGTGTTGCCGTAAGACAGCCCACTCGAGCTTTCACTCAAGCAGGTGGAATACTCCGTTCCAGCGTGTCTCTATAAACTTTGTTCAAGTTGTATGTGTGGTCTACAACTTGATTGCCTCTGCCTCACAACTAAACTGTGGTATAAAAAAAAAGTTGTGGCTCTCTCCTGATGGGTCTCCCATATGTGATCATTTCCTCTTAAAAATAAACCTTTTAGAGAACAGTTATGATCTATTCCATGATGGAAAATGGCGCTCAATAGTGTCACCTTTGGAGGTCTTTGCATATTTAACAAAGATTCCTGAAGATATCATGCCCACTTGTGTGGCAGCTACTGGAGTAGAAGCTGCAAGTGAAGCTGAAGCCCTGAAGCTTACGTGATGCTCTGCCTAGCTAAAACCTTTCAGAAGCTCTCCCCAGTGTGTTCCACCATCTTCTTTGCGGCAAACTTCTTCACTTCCTTCCAGCTCTACCAGAAACTGCATCAGTGTCGTACTCTTGCATATGTTTACAACACAGAGAGATGGAAAGAATCCTTAAATTCTTGTTTGGGATGGGAAGCACCTGGTGCCTGTAACTGTGTTTTTTTATAAAGCCACTTAACAAAAAAAATCACTTACAAAAAAAACCCTTAAAAGTGATACTGCCACTTTAAAGGAATACAATAGCGTTAGGAATACAAATAAATGTGTGTCCCTAACGTTACAGTGCCCTAGTCACCATTTAGATGATCGCCCTCCCACCCCTGCAAGGGTTAAAAAGGTATTTTACTTACATTCTCTCAGTTTTGCTTGTTTATTTCTGAGGAAATGCTTTTAGTAGCTGTCAGTATAAAGATGAAGTGGCTAGCTATAATGTCCCTTTAAGTATAGCTATCTACTAAAACAAATAAATTTTTACTACTTTGTCATGCCAATTGAGGTTTAGCTTGAGTATACAAAGATAAAAATCATTTGTATATTTGTTTAAAATATAGTCACACAAGGTTAAATATTTGTTGGTAAAATCTGTATCTGTATATTCTATACGAAATCTGTGTAAATAAATATGTTGACTTTTTAATCCCATTTAAATTTAAACTCACCAAGGCGTATAGAATTACCTTCAGAGTTATACATTAAATTATTTAATTAAATCAGAATGGCAAAATACAGGCTAAATTGCTGCATTGGCTATTTTATGGTCAGTCTCTTTTTTATTGAGGTAAGAGTTTAACATACAATATAAGCATACACAAAGCTTATAATATATCATATCAATACACTGCAGGATAGCTCATTTTATAATTTTATAATAAAACAACAGAGGAAAAAAAAAAGTAAGGAATTAGCAATAAACATATCAATGCATTGCCAGGAGAAAAATGCAGGTATGAGTTTTAGACTAGATAAGACTAGATACGACTAGATAAGAGCGACTTGATAGGTGCCTGTACAGTGGGCCAGTTTATGTGTCACTTTACTTATAATGATTTCTGAAGCAATATACCGGGTAGAGCACAAATATTGAATTAAGATATCAGGCGTCAAGGCACAAGCTGGCCTATCATTAGACATGTGCAATTCGTTTCGGTCCAAATTAAAATTCGGCCGAATTTCAGGTAATTTGGACATTCGGGTGCTTCCGAATGTCCGAATAGCTGAATTGCCGAAGTGCCGAAGTCCCGAAGTGCCTAAATTAAGAAATTTCCAAAGTGTAGTAGTGCCAAAGTGCCGAATTGCTGAAGTTCCGAAGTTGCCGATGTTCCGAGGTGTCAAAGTGCCGAAGTCCTGAATTTCTGAATGCTGAACCGAGCCGAATATTTTTCCCATGCACATGCCTACCTATCATTGCATATTCAATACATAGAAACATAGAATGTGATGGCAGATTAGAACCATTCTGCCCATCTAGTCTGCCCAAGTCCCTGGCCTTATCTTATTGTTAGGATAGCCTTATGCCTGTCCCATGCATGCTTAAACTCCTTTACTGTGTTAAAGGACCACTATAGTGCCAGGAAAACATACTCGTTTTCCTGGCACTATAGTGCCTGAGGGTGCCCCCACCCTCAGGGACCCCCTCCCGCCCGGCTCTGGAAGGGGGTAAAAACTTACCTTTTTCCAGCGCTTGGCGGGGAGCTCTCCTCCTCCGATCCTCCTCCGTTCCTCCTCGTCGGCTGAATGTGCACGCGCGGCAAGAGTTGCGCGCGCATTCAGCCGGTCGCATAGGAAAGCATTATCAATGCTTTCCTATAGACGCTGGCATGCTCTCACTGTGAAAATCACAGTGAGAAGCACGCAAGCGCCTCTAGCGGCTGTCAATGAGACAGCCGCTAGAGGGAATGGGGGAAGGCTCTGAAACTGCTATGTTTATAAAAAAAGGGTTAACCCTAGCTGGACCTGGCACCTAGAGTGGTCCTTTAACCTCTACCACTTCAGCTGGAAAGCCATTCCATGCATCCACTACACTCTCAGTAAAGTAATACTTCCTAAAATAATTTTTAAACATTTGCACCTCTAATTTAAGACTATGTCCTCATAACTGCAAGTCAGAAGATGATCAAAATAAAGCTGAACAAACTGGTATTACGACTGAAAATATAACATATCACAAGGGGAATTTTTGAATAAATGTAGCTTATTTGCAGATAGAACTGATACCACCAGTGATAAGGTTAATCGTGGGTGATCTTCAGCTTTATAGAGTACAGAGGCTCCATGCCATGGAGCAGGCCAACTTGGAGGAAATAATCAACAGTCAGCCAATATCGAGACTGGGCCAAGGTCTCAAGTAGTTGCAAAATCTACAGAAGTGAGTAGCACTGTGGTGCCAAGGTGAGCTCTCAGCCCATGTGAGCAGAAGGTAAGAGCGACAGTAACTTGTGATATCAGGTCGCCCATAAGAGGCTTCTCAGTTCTCTTCCCAAGATGTCTCAACTTTAAACAGGACCAACTCCACCCCAAATTCTGTTACCTAATAACAGCTGTAAAAGAAATGACAATATTGGGTCTGTCTTGTTGAGCTCCCAGGATTTGATAGTCCAGTGCAAAGGCAATAGGCGATGTTAGGAGCAGACTAAGCATGTCTATATCTAGAGGTATCCATATCCAGAGAATCGTGAGTTTCTTACAAAATGCCTCACAATCTTGACATAATTAGATGTTTAGCCCTTGAACAACATCTCTAACCATTAAAAAAGAGCTGATCATAAATGATGCAAACATTTGTTTTTCTTTTTTTTCTAACACATACTTATTACACCAGTATATATATATATTCCCCCAACAAAGATTATGGGGGCACTACCAAACTCACCCTTTCAGACCAACTTCCACCGAATGTGGCAGTGTCCTAATGTGCTACCAGAAGTGTACTGTGCAGCAACAGTTTTCTAGAATCCTACAAAGAGTGCAGAGTATAGTAGAAAAGAGTAACTGTGTGTGACAAACTCCCCTGTGCCACGATCTCCTGGAGGAGCCTGCTTGTCAGCCGCCTCCTGCCCACTGACTATAGGCCAGGTCAGCGACTGTAAAGGCCAATATTTTATTCCCCCTGGTTCGGCACTCCATTTGTGCGCATAGAACCGAACACTAGCTCCCTGGAGGCTGTTCGCATGGCCCAAAAGCGCAAATAGACATCAGGGGGACTTAGCCGCGAAAGCCCTGGAACTATTTTCGGCATGAAGACTTTGCGGTTCCCGGTTGGTCCCCAGCAGCACTTAGCCGCGATTCCATGGAACTATTTTCGCCTAGGGGACCATGCGTGCAGTCGGTCAAATTATGACTGCTAGGAAATTCCTGAACTGATCTGGGTGATTTTTGGATAGGTTGGTCACCCAGGTCGGGGCTATCAGGGGATGTAACTTTTGTGGGGCTTTATGTATTTTTAAGGTACTTTTGGGGTGTTTGGGAAATGTGTGTTTTTTGTGCTTGGAGATAATTGAGTTTAATACAATGCTTGACTCAATTATCTCCCAGGTATAGGGAATGGATTATTTTGTTTTGTATGGGAGTGTCCTGGACCTGAGAGCCAATGTAATCGTGTGTATGTTTTTACTGGAGTCTACTCTCAGGTCCAGGGGAGAGTGCCCCATGCATGGGGACCTGCATATAAGGCCAGTTGTGGCTGCCAATAAACGTATCCCAGCTTGTACTCCCAGAACTATGTGTCGTCTGGTTATTGGGAGAGGAAAGGGCTATTCTTTAATCACTGTTCCAGTGTGGAAGATTCAACGGGCAGCTCCCAGGACTTAGTGTCGTCCAGTGCCTGGTGGTTGCTGGAGCGATTTCCCCATTCAGCTCCATGAGAGAGCGGTTCCAGGACCTCAGTCAAGTCACAGCGACTGAGGGCAAGAGTGTTGAGGTTTGTCCCCTGTTCCAGCTACGAAGCGGTCCTTTGGCGGAGTTACCCAGTCGGGGTACAGTGAGCTCCGTTACACTGTTATAATAGAGAGTACTCAGTGTACAATGTGGCAGTGTCTAGTATACTGCAGCATGAAGGGTGTATTACGCGGGCAGTTTCAAAGTGAACTACAGAGAGTGCACAGAGTGACATACAGGCTTATTTACTAACAAGAGAATTCAAAATGAATTCAAAGTGAATTTAAAACTTCAGGCCAGAGTAGCTGAACTGAAAGCATAACTGATTAAGAGAATATTTCTAAATCGGCTATGTTGACCTTAAATTTGAAATTTAGTTTGAATTCATTTAGTAACCGATACTGACTGTGTTCTACAAAGAGGGTGCAGTGTTATATAGTGACATTTCCCTATGTACTACAGAGAGCGTGCAGTGTAAAATAGTGACAGTGTCTAGTGTGCAAAAAGAGAGCGTGCAGTGTAATATAGTGATAGTGTCTAGTGTGCAAACAGAGAGCGTGCAGTGTAATATAGTGACAGTGTCTAGTGTGCAAACAGAGAGTGTGCAGTGTAAAATAGTGACAGTGTCTAGTGTGCAAAAAGAGAGCGTGCGAAGACGTGAAGGCAACTACCCCGAACCTTAGAGATCGCTACACCAAACGCTGGTTTCACTGGCTCAGACTAACCACCACTGACGCTTTCCGTAACCGCATGGCGACGCAGTAGACGAAGGAGGAGAGTATTAAGCCAAAATAAATACGGCACGAATATGAGAAGCTGGGGACCGACGAACCGAGACGGCGACAGGGGTCGGAAACACCCACCATCACCAACCCACAACATCCACATGCACATACACAACACACAACTTGCCGACACATATAGTCGCACACCCAAAGGACAACAGGAGGCGGGACAATGAGCAGGTCAGTCGGGAACATACACAAGTAAACACACAACACATACGAGCGACAGCATGCCAAGACTTTAAACTACACAACCTGAACCAAGACCCACTACAAACACACGGACAGCCAAGACATAGAACAAACGGCCACTACAGTCAGATAATAACAGACGAGAGTTGCGAAACCACATGATCTGAGAGCCACACACATCCACAGCCCAAACACAGACCTTGGCGATCTAACCCAAAACCCACAGAACAACACCACATCCACGCACACAGGTGAACCCACCTCAACGCGACGACACCAAGACACACAGACGGTGACTCAGACACACAAACCGGAACCACAAGGACGCAACAATAGAGGCAGACACACAGAGCTCCAGAATAAAGCAACACTACATAGACATAACCATGGAAACACGCAATAGAGGTGACACAGACTTACCGCAGAAGGTTTCACCATCACCAGTAGAGGGGAAGGACACGAAACACACAAAACAAATACAACCCCAATATGCACGAGCGGGTAGCCACGAGACACACTAGAACTCAGGGCTACAGACAAAAGATCAGAACGCGTAAACACCAACTCACTTTCGCAAGATGGGCCTTCACTGCAGTTTACGGCAACAGGGATAAATACGCAATCACTGGCATCTCAGAAGAATACAGTGTATCATTAACGAACCACACTAACACCATTTAATGAGCCGATAGCTGAACACATGATACTAACTGCCACCCCAAATAGCCACCACATACCTGACGAAAACGCCCTAACAACGCAATACCACGCAAGCTCACCACCTTTTGCATGTCTAGCCCTGCAAGGCTTATAAATGTCTAATATTTGTCATTGCATGTCTATATTGACCTATACGCCTCTGCGCAGGCAACTATGTGTTACTCTGAGTTAACTGGAATATGTCGGCCTCACATTATATACACTTTCAACGTGCACGCCTCTGCGTAGGCAATTATATGCATGAATGTTACCAAGTTCAACACCCGTGTTTATATTGCTGACAATAAACATATTTAAAACAAAAAGAGAGCGTGCAGTGTAATATAGTGATAGTGTCTAGTGTGCAAACAGAGAGCGTGCAGTGTAATATAGTGACAGTGTCTAGTGTGCAAACAGAGAGTGTGCAGTGTAATATAGTGACAGTGTCTAGTGTGCAAACAGAGAGCGTGCAGTGTAATATAGTAACAGTGTCTAGTGTACAGAGAGTGTGCAGTGTAATATAGTGACAGTGTCTAGTGTGCAAACAGACAGCGTGCAGTGTAATATAGTAACAGTGTCTAGTGTACAGAGAGTGTGCAGTGTAATATAGTGACAGTGTCTAGTGTGCAAACAGACAGCGTGCAGTGTAATATAGTGACAGTGTCTAGTGTGCAAACAGAGAGCGTGCAATGTAATATAGTAAAAGTGTCTAGTGTACAGAGAGTGTGCAGTGTAATATAGTGACAGTGTCTAGTGTGCAAACAGACAGCGTGCAGTGTAATATAGTGACAGTGTCTAGTGTGCAAACAGAGAGCGTGCAATGTAATATAGTAAAAGTGTCTAGTGTACAGAGAGTGTGCAGTGTAATATAGTGACAGTGTCTAGTGTGCAAACAGAGAGTGTGCAGTGTAATATAGGGACAGTGTTGAGTGTGCTAGAGAGTGTGCAGTGCAACATAGTGACAGTTTTCTAGTTTTTTTACTTTACGGAAAGTGAATAATTTAATATAGTGTTACTATCCTAGTGTACTACAGAAAGTGCACTGTGTAACATATTGACAGCATACTGCAGTTTTTTTTTAAATAGCAGTAGCTTCTTTGTGTACTACGGGGAATACAATGAGTAAAAGCTTTATATATGTATAGGTACAGATAATCACTATTGAGCCTTTGGTATCAAATATATACGATCTGTATAATAGTGAGCTACAAAAAGTGCATGCTTCAATTAATGAACCTTCGATATCAGATATATAAATTATTTTGATCCTAGGAAATTTACTGGTCAAGTTTTTTTTTTTTTTAACAACGATATTGTAGCAACTGAAATTGTGCTGATTGCTGATAATGGAACTGCGAAAATAAAGTATTGAACCTTCGTTCATAGTGTGTTTATTTTACAATCAGTAAATAAAAATTGGATATTTGCATAATCAGTGGTGATGTTAAACCACAGTGGGATATTTTACTCAAAGTAAATGATTAGATTTTTTAATAATAATAAAAAAAAGGTTAACAACACATCAGATCATGAATAACTAGTAACAAAAGTTTCTAAAACATATAAAAAATGTGAAAACAATTAATAGACATCGTAAACATCTCTGTAAGAACACAGCTTTTCTTAATAATGCATTGAGTGTCCTGAACCTACATAGTCTTCAGAGAGAAATCAGTGGCCAACAGGAAACAAAGATTGCAATATTAGTCTAGTAAGCTATTTAACCAAAACAACTTCCTGAAGTAATTGTTCTCCTTTTATATCCAAGTCATGTCAGTGTCACCAAACATACAATATGCATACATCATGTCCTCTATGTTCCACAAAGGCCTATACAGTCAGCTGCAGGGTAGGTTAACAAATTTAAACCTATTTAGTTTAGAAAAATGTCGCCTGAGAGGGGATATGAAAACATTATACAAATATATTCGGGGCCAATACAAACCATTGTGTGGAAATCTATTCACAAACCTGACTTTACATAGGACAAGAGGCCATGTGTTTAGACTGGAAGAAAGAAGATTTCGTCTAAGGCAAAGGAAAGTTTTTTTACTGCAAGAACAATCAGGATGTGGAATTCTTTGCCTGAAGAAGTGGTTTTATCAGAGTCCATACAGATGTTCAAACAGCTACGAGATGCATACTTGCAAAAACAGAATATTCAAGGATATAATCTTTCAGTGTAGGGTAATAACTGCTTGATCCAAGGATAAATCTGACTGCCATTCTGGGGTGAAGGAGGATTTTTTTTCCTAGCTTGTTGCAAAATTGTGCTTCAAACTGTTTTTTTTTTTTTTTTTTTGCCTTCTTTTGGATCAACAGCAAAAAACAAATGTGAAGAAGGCTGAACTTGATAGACGCAAGTCTCTTTTCAGCTATGTAACTATGTAACTATGTAGCTGTGTGATTTCAAAATCTATAAATCATTTTCCTAAATAACCAAAAACGTATCATTCAAACTATGGCCAGAAATCTGTTTTTCAATCTGCTTATACTCAGCATTTGGAAGTTGATTATACCAAATACTTGCAGGATCAGAGTTCTGGAGCAATCACCATATTAACCAATAGAATAATTTGGTGATTTTGCAACGTTTTGAAATTAGGGTATACCACCTCCCACACTTACATATATACTGTTGTTATAACCTTTATAAATGTAAATTGTACTTTAATATGATGAGCACCTGACAGATGCTCAAAACTTTGTGATGCCAATTTTTTCTATCACTTACAGAATGTCAGAAGTTGTGTTTAACAGTTCTGTTAAATACACCTTATATAATGCAAGACATTATGTTAGATTAAAATTTTAAGCCGCAAACATGCTTATAAGTATCTACCCTGCTCCAATGCACAATAATCCATTGATTTGCAATGTAACGAGAACAACATTTAGGCAAAAGTGTCATTAGTTCCAAAAGAAATGCTAGCCTTGAACAAGCAGGAAGTATATTAAATGATATGGTCTTCATGTGTAGAAAGATTTGAAATATGATTTTGTTAATCATGTTTTACACCCAGGGAACAAATTATTAGCTGGATGTCAAAAACATTACTATATGAGATTTAATTATTTAAGTCATATTATATCCTGGTAACTAAATCTTTCTAAAGTGCAATAAAAAACATAAGACCAAACTATGACAGACTTCCATAGTATATATTGTATTCCATAATATATTACTTAGACTGTGGGCCACATTATATTGTATGAGCGCACTTGTGTAATTTTTTTTTTTTTAAATGCAAAAATATATATTGTAATTTTTAAAAAGTCACTACATATATTCTGCAGACATACAATGTAAAAAGAGAAGTGCATCCGCACATAAGGTGACAGGGTGATACATCAGACATAGTAGGGGGGGTACAGTACCATTCAGTCCAAGTTTACTGCAATCAGAAAAAGTCCTCTGGACAAGGTCATATAATCTCAAGAGACAGTTTGCTTAAAGAAAAATACTCCAGAGTCTATCAACGTTTTATACAGTCTCTGGCGTAGACAGAACAATTAAGGTACATGCATATATTTATTAGTATAACAAAAAGAGTACAAAAAACAACTTACTTTATAATACAGAAATAACATAACAGTTACAAAGCAATCAACATTCTAAGACGACATGAGCGCTGCTATAGTGACGCACTAGAGATACGGAAAAATAAGCCATCCAGAAATGTCTATAAAATTATCATAGGAACATTATGAGCATACACGGTCAAACAACTCTGCTATGAATATATTTATTTTCTGTATGTTTACAGTTAATTGTGTCATGGGAAGTGATAGAATTGGTTCTATATTGGCTTATACCCTTTCATCTGGCACAGTCTGGGCCAAAGTCTGTTTCTACTGTTTAGAAAAACATGGGCCCTTGGAGATTAATGTTACATTATGCATAACTTCACACATCTCCCTCCATAACTAGGTATCACTTCTGTTTTTTGATTGTCACAATGAAAACAGCAAATTTCTCCTTGCCAGCTTAGACATGAAATATAGATTACATGTAAAAACTGTTATTAGAAGCAGACTTCAAATCTTAGGAACGTTGAATTAGCTGACTTGTAAAGACGGTGATGTTCCATTTTGTTCAAGATGTCAGCGTAGGTGTGGTTAATAGATGAAATTCAAGGTCAAATCTGGTGCTATTTTGCAACAAAGTGCTAAATAATGGAGCAATCACCATGGAAACAGATACAATGTCTCTTTAAGGGTCACTATTGCTTCTCTATAATTTACACCGTTGAATAAAACACTGAGAATCCCTTATAACTTGTGTTAACCTTGTTTTCACGAGATGCACTTTTTAAAATTTAGGTTAAAAGATTAGCAAATGACATCAAAATCCAGTTCAGACAAGGCAACAGGAGGGCACACATTGTACATGAACAGGAAAAATAGAAACATTGTTTATCTATATGCTTTCAGTATGATGATTGCCAGGTGCAAAGGGCAGAGCTTATAACAATGATTGACAAGGAGATAGAAGGGAAGCACCACACCGTAACAAACGTTTAATTTTATTTTTTATGCCTAGCAAAAATATATTTTTTAAATTAAGGGATAAGTAAATATTAAACATTCAGGGAAATTACAATTCTCCTGTAACATTTGTCACTTTATCAAAAACAATGCCTGTTAAACCCTGATAAATATTGGCCACTTTTGCAAATTTACTCAAGGTACGGCCAATATCAACTCCATTTAGAACTTTGACTCATTTTGTAGTGGGCTTTGGCAAAGCACAGCCTATGCCAGTCATGATAACCAAACAGTGTGGATGCATATACTCATTATCACTCTAACCCTGCCAATGTCTCTGTAATACAATCTGTGGCCCAATCCTATGTTTATCACAGCTCTAGAAAAGATTAGAAAACAAGCTCACGATAACACTAGGCCAACAGTTTGCAGATGTTGTTACTAAACAGAATATCAGTCAGTTAATTCCTCTGTCAGCTGGCGAGCACTGAAGAAGCAGATGTTTGTAACTACTACCGAAAAAAAAAGACTTTCAACGCCATACGATAGACTATACAACATACTACATAGCTGAGTGAATAGGACAAGCTAACCACATTGAGGGGGGAAAAAACAGTATTTCATTTTAACAACATGAAATGAATAACTTAAAGAAAAATGAAAAATTGTATTGCACACATTAAATCGATACTGATGTACTCATCAGTATACCAAAAAAAAAATCATAGCAGTATATTCTTTAGTTTGACCCAGTACCTACCTCAAAATCTTACAATACCTTAACTGAGTTTGTATCCAACTTCTTCTCAAAGGACATGCCAGAGATGACCGTTTATTGGAAATATTATTTTGCCCAAAATATAACTTATTTTATGCCCTCCAATATATTATTTCATTATGGTTTTTTTACATTGCTAGTCACATACATAATGGCATTATATATTTTCTGTTATCATTGTTCTTTAAAAAAAAAATTAAATATTTTTCTAATCATTGCTGTATAGAATAAATTATAGCCTGACACTATAAGATTGGTAAACATAAAAATAAAAAATAAAAATTAAGGGTAAAGACTAAATTATTTTGGAAGTGGCGAGGACAATGTAAAGAGGATGTTTCTTCACAACTCATTAGTAACAAACAAAATGTTTACAATAAAAAAATGACATTTAAATATTTATTAAAGTAAACTATTTTTTAGGGGTTGCCGGAATTTGTTCAGAAATTACTGTAGTTTGCGTGACTTTTTATGCTAGAGGAGTCACATTTGCTATTGGCAATGAAAAAAAAATGCATTAAAAAATGCTATTCATTCTCTCCAAGGGTTTGTACAGTTTATTTGACAGAATTTATATTTTAAAATTTAACAGTGATTAAAAAATATTTTGTGTTGCTTTTTTGGAATAAAATGTCAGTAAACTTAATTTTGATATCCCAAATTATTTATTATTTGTGCCTACATTTATTGATAGTGGAATATTTTGGCAATGACAGTCAATCGTCAATGCATACGGAATCACTGACCTTTGTGGAAAAAAAGCTACCACACCTATTACGTGGTGACACTTTCTCTGTATGCAAATAATTACGGAGATCAATTGTATGTCCTGTTCTCTACTATTGAGTGCTTTTCCATTTACCAGTGTCCAAACGACCCAAAAACCAGCTTGAATTCTGGTATAATATTGACAGAACAGAGAAGACACAGATTGGAATGTTAAACCTCCATCTTATGTACTGTGCATAAAATAACTACTAATCTTTGGTTAATTAAATAAGTAACTCCTTTTGTGTAACAACTTGCATCAGAATCACTGGTGGCCATTTATTAATACTATTTTTATTATAAAGCACAAGAAAACAAAACAGTAGTTTCTGAGCAAGTACGCTATGTGTATAGGAACGAGAAATGACGAGGGCTTACTTGAACAATTTATATTTATAAAAATTGTGCCCAGATAAATATATATAAACATACAGGGGATACCCCATCAACAATGAGGCTTAAATGTTAATTTAATTAAACAAATCAAATCAATTCAAAGTCAAGGCAGGGGTGAAATATGAAAGATTTTGTTACTAAACAAGGCCAAGGCAGCTCCACTCAGTACAAAAGGTATTGCTCATTTCTTTGGCTCTTGAAAGGTTAAAAAGCAATATTTTGGGGCCCCAGAAGGTGCATATGTATAATCAATATTTCTGTAAGTTCAGCATATCAATAAATTCAAAAAGACGTGTTCCTGAAACATTGTACACAATAGAATATACTAACTGGCTCTCCTAATACAATTATTTTGACATAGAATTGACAACTAAAAATTGCGATGAACGCATTTCTGAAACTCAACCCTTTTCTAGTCTAACCCAACCCACTTTGGGTATCATTTTGATTTTATTGCGTTCTGGTGGTATGAAATAAATATTTAGTAGCCAGCGTCGACGATGGCGCAAGGCTATTTTACACCGTCTTCTTCCACGTTTTTACAGTCAATACATTGATGGAATTTAAAATAACATGTTTCGAAACACTGAATTAATACAGTTTATCCAACATACAAGTCAGCTGCTTCCAAACCATTCCAAATTTCAGTGGGAAAAAAGTAACGTGAATGCCTATGTTGTTCTACTTACCTATAAAAAAATGGCTTCTTATCGCTGCATCTCATAAGCACTCTAAATTCAATCCGCCCTCATAATGAAAGAAAAGCATATTTGCTCCAAGTTAACCTTAATGGTGCCACTAAAACATTGCGCAATATATGCTATGTATGTTAACATTTTAAAGTTAAAATCTCACATAACATTGTTATACCGATGGCAGTGATACAGTTAGTGACATGCTGCTTCACAGTGTTGTTTATATTGTACGCAGGTCGAAGTTATGGTGGATATAATTACGTTAAGGTTAATAAATAAATTGTGGCTGATTAATATAGTATAAAAGATAAATAGAGATCATGTAGCATTTAAATATGCTCTATGATATTTGTTAATTCCGCTTATTTCCCGAATCGCTGGATATTCCATAAAGAGGGCAATTTATATATCCTCAGTTAGGCCTTCCGATCTAGCTGTGTTGTAAGAGGGTGATCATCTCGTTTGAAAGCTAGGGAACAAAATATGTTCTACAGAAACTTCCAACCACTAATGAGTTATTAAATGTAGACAATCTCAGATTGTTTTTAGCTTACTAAAAATTAATATAAATAAGCACCTTACCAAAGGTCGGAGAAACTCAGGATCACAAAGCAAGAGGTCTTCCTCTTTGGAAGATGATGTCCAAGTCATCACGTGGATGTACCAAGCTGGTCCAGAGTAGCTTTTTACACAAAGGGAACAAGTGCAAGTGCTTGAAGATGTGTGAGGGGCTTGCAGCGAGGAGGGGAGAGAAAGAGGAAGAAGCCGAGAGATGTGTCATCTGTGCTGTTTGATATTATGTATCTACGTATCCGCTTCCTGCTCTCAACAGTGAGCTTACACAGGCAGAGCAGGTTAATCTCCTGCTCTGCTGAACAGGAGACAAGGTTGTAACAGCCTGGGAAGACACTGATGTTTTGGCATCTGGAGTTATCACCAGGCTGAACATCCAATTAACAAGGCGGACTATTTTATAATTGTACCCCACCAAACAGAATGATTAGTCATATCACACGGCTAAAGTGAACAAATGTGAAAGTGAGTGAAGGTTGAATACACATAGGAGGTCTTGATCGCTAATTATTAAAACTGTTAGATTTATTTACTTATATAAAGTAGGAATATAAAAATAGGTCATTTCCAATATGGAGCTCATTCATTGGTTCTTTTTTTATTATTATTTTTTGTACGTGGTTATTTGGTTATTTGACAGGGAATTTTTGAAAAATTGCAAGAGAATTACAAATGATCGCTCAAAATAACCAAACTGTTCTCTAACTCAGGAAATTTGCCAGCTCAGCAATTTGGGCCTTTAATAATAATAATAATAACTGTAATTATAATTATTTATAAAGCATTACATAGTCTGTGCGTGCTCTGAGCCAGGTTGGGAGGGAGGGGTGGATTCAGGGAGGAGACTTTTAAGAGAAGAATAACTGTAATTGGAGGGAGGCAGGAGGAGTGGTCGGAGGGAGAGCGGGTAGGTAGGTGCGCTGCCTGCAAAGAGAGAAGCTTATTACATCTGTTACCTGTAATTTTTGCACAGAATTGTCATTAGGCAGCCTGAAACAAGCCCCAAGCACAAACTGCAAATATCAAGCAGAAGCCCAGTGCATATAGATTTTTGCTCCATCACCACTTCAAAAAGCAGAAGTAGTCATGGTGGGTGGAGTAAACATTTTACATTGGAATATAAATATAGATGTGTATGATCTGTCTGCATGAGTGTATGTAAAAGCATTGTATCTGTGTGTATAGGATCTCTGTCATGTGGGTTTTCTAATAAGGGATCTGTGTGAGTGTAGGGATCAGATATCTCTTACCTGAATCCCTCTGTGAAGCTGCACGCTCACGCTCGGTGGGGTTTTATGGGCATCCAAATTCGGATCAGAATGGCGAATTTGCCGGACCGAATACGACACACAAATATGATGTTAACAATCATTCTAATAAGATTTCTACCATCCACGAACCATAAGGAATTCACTTATGACGTGAACCAATAGAAATTAAGCACTTACCTCTCCCTCTCCATGTTACCCTGTTGTGGTGCTAGTAGCCCAAAAGCGCATTCCGTGTGTATACTTTTCCTGATATCTGATTTAGTCTGCTCATATGTTTCTTTTGATCTCTGTACTCTTTTGACCTTGGCTTGTTTAATCGTTTATCCGTATCTCTCCTGTCCTTGATTTCGTCATTCTCTCTGACACTTCTACAGTTAGTCCGGCCATTCTAAGGAAAATCTACATTCTCATTTGGCATATATTAACATACTTCCCAACATTTCAAATGGACAAAGAGGGACACTTTAATTTAAAAGTGTATGTGGGGGTACGACAGGGGCAGGACTGTTCTGAGAATTTTAGGAGACTTACTAATGACAGTTTATGCAACTAAAATGTAAATTAGAACAAGAACAAGGTATCCTATTTACACACAGACTGCTTTCTAAACACATTTATTGCAGCTTAAAGATACATTACTGGGAGTAATATTAATGTGGAGCTCTGGAATATAATATCAGACTCACCAACAATGTCCAGCTCCTAGACAAGAGGGACATTAGGAGAGAAAAAAAAAGGGACAGATGGATTTGTGCCCAAAATAGGGACTGTCCCTCCTAAAGGAGATATGGATATATACACAGAAAAGTTATACACACAGAAATAGTGCATATTGTAATATTTCATACGCAGGGGTCAAGTCCTGGGGAAAAAGGTGTGGGAACTCACCCAAGATTCCCGCCTCCCCCCCACACCCCCTTAAAATTTTTTTATTTTTTTTTTTTAAATTACACTCCTATGCATATAGTGCAGTGCAGGGTGTGTATAATGAAGGTAATGTGTTTGTAGTGAATGCAGAGTATGAATAATAAATGTAGTGTGTTTGCAGTGAGTGCAGTGTGAATAATGAATGCAGTGTGTTTTTAGTGAGTGCAGAGTGTGTATAATGAATGCAGTGTGTTTTTAGTGAGTGCAGAGTGTGTATAATGAATGTAGTGTATTTGTAGTGAGTGCAGTGTGTATAATAATAAATGTAGTGTGTTTGTAGTGAGTGCAGTGTGTATAGTGAATGTAGTGTTTTTGTAGTGAGTGCAGAGTGTGTATAATGAATGCAGAGTGTGTATAGTGAATGTAGTGTGTTTGTAGTGAGTGCAGAGTGTGTATAATGAATGTAGTGTGTTTGTAGTGAGTGCAGAGTGTGTATAATGAATGTAGTGTGTTTGTAGTAAGTGCAAATTGTGTATAATGAATTAAGTGTGTTTGTAGTGAGTGCAGAGTGTGTACAATGAATGCAGTGTGTGTAGTGTGTTTGTAGTGAATGCAGAGTGTGTATAGTGAATGTAGTGTGTAGTGAGTGCAGAATGTGTATAATGAATGCAGAGTGTGTATAGTGAATGCAGAGGGTGTATAGTGAATGTAGTGTGTTTGTAGTGAGTGAAGAGTGTGTATAATGAATGCAGCGTGTGCTGGATGATGTGTGTGACGTGCGCGCTGGATGACGTGTGTGTGTGAGTGCTGGATGATGTGTGTGTGAGTGCTGGATGATGTGTGTGTGTGTGCTGGATGATGGGTGTGTGAGTGCTGGATGATGGGTGTGTGTGTGCTGGATGATGGAGTGTGTGAGTGCTGGATGATGGGTGTGTGTGTGCTGGATGATGGGTGTGTGAGTGCTGGATGATGGGTGTGTGAGTGCTGGATGATGGTGTGTGCTGGATGATAGGTGTGTGAGTGCTGGATGATAGGTGTGTGAGTGCTGGATGATGGGTGTGTGTGTGCTGGATGATGGGTGTGTGTGTGCTGGATGATGGGTGTGTGTGTGCTGGATGATGGGTGTGTGTGTGCTGGATGATGGGTGTGTGAGTGCTGGATGATGGTGTGTGTGTGTGCTGGATGATGGTGTGTGTGAGTGCTGGATGATGGGTGTGTGTGTGCTGGATGATGGGTGTGTGAGTGCTGGATGATGGGTGTGTGTGTGCTGGATGATGGGTGTGTGAGTGCTGGATGAGTGCTGGATGATGGTGCTGGATGTGTGTGTGCTGGATGATGCTGGATGATGGGTGTGTGTGTGCTGGATGATGGGTGTGTGAGTGCTGGATGATGGGTGTGTGAGTGCTGGATGATGGGTGTGTGTGTGCTGGATGATGGGTGTGTGTGTGCTGGATGATGGGTGTGTGTGTGCTGGATGATGGGTGTGTGAGTGCTGGATGATGGGTGTGTGAGTGCTGGATGATGGGTGTGTGTGTGCTGGATGATGGGTGTGTGAGTGCTGGATGATGTGTGCTGGATGATGGGTGTGCTGGATGATGGGTGTGTGAGTGCTGGATGATATGTGTGTGTGTGTGTGCTGGATGATGGGTGTGTGTGTGCTGGATGATGGGTGTGTGAGTGCTGGATGATGGGTGTGTGAGTGCTGGATGATGGGTGAGTGCTGGATGATGCGGGGGGGGGAAGCATTTTTTTACTTTATATATAATATTTATTTTATTCCCCCCTCCCTGCTTCTTACCTTGTCAGGGAGGGGTGAGATCGCCTGGTGGTCCGGTGGAGGGAGCCAGCTGTTGCACACAGGGGCCATCACACGCTGTGTTCCTTCTCCAGCTCTAACTCTCGCGAGACTCGCCTGTGCGGAGCGTTGCCATGGTAACAGCCGCGGGTCTCGCGAGAGTTGTAGCTGGAGAAGGAACACAGCGTGTGCTGGCCCCTCTGTGCAGGTAGCAGGGCCGGTCCTGCAGGATCACTAGCGGGAACGGCGTTCCTGCTTTGGAAAAAGTGCAGGAACGCCGTTCCCATGCGTTCCTGCAGGACTCGAGCCCTGTTCATACGCTTGAAAACAGAAACATGCATAGTTTATTTCACAGATGAAGCCATGCAAAATGAAAAAGGTACATCTGGGACAGGAAGTGATAAGAAATTAGATCACAAATTTATAGAATTAAAGAGACAGAACAACAATCAACATTGCAACAAAAAGAAAGAGAAACTAAAACAAACAAATTGTTGTATGATAAAAACAAAAGCAGCTGTAATGATGAACACCAAGTGGTGTTGCTTTAAAGAGCATAAAATGTCTAGAAAATGTATAGATGTTAGTCACCTTTATATAACTTTGACTGTCATGGTCTTTTACGGGTATACAGCTAGGAGAGAATTAAAAACAACAATTGTGGAGGTGTGGGGGCAGATAAATCTGTTTTAAATTCCGTGCTAGACATTTTATTCTCTGTAAAGCAACACCACCATACAAAAAGCGTAGTCACACTGAATATTAATGTAATGCTACTGATATTAAACAACAATGTGAACCATTATAATAGAAGTAATTAACCAGCTTATATTTAGCTTGTCTTATAAACGTAAAAAATTGTGCGTTTCTCTGAATGCCATGCAACTATTAACAAATACTTGTTTCCAAACTGTCTGTGAATGCTGTCTTGGCATTGCAAGCATGCGTATGTTATTTCATGCACAGCAAAAATAAAGAATAATAAAAAAAAAAAAAGCAACACCACATTGTGTTCTACCATTGATATAGTGACATTCCAAGGCTCGGATTATGCAATTTGCAATCAGAGCAACTCCATCCACTTGTTAGAGAGTGAAGGAAGTGATATTCAGGTAAGTATATATTTTAATTTATCCACCTGCTTCTTGTGATTTTGCCATCAAAGTGCAAATATTGTATCAGTTACGTATTTGAGTGTGAATTTGGCATTCTCACAACTTGCGGAGAATATGTTGATTTTCTGGGCTTATAGTTGTAATGCATCTT